CTCTACCACCGCAGACCGAAAAGGGGCCACGTGCTCTACGCTTTGTTCTTGTTGCAGACTGGCCATTGAGGATAAATGCGGTGTTGACGAGCTGGCAGCCATGTCAACAGCAATGGACATTTTTCTGAACGCTTCCGATTCGATGTCCTTCATGGACGTCCTGGACATCGACATCAAGGCCGAGATGGACCTGCTGGTGGAGAGCGCCGGCATGAACGATTTCTCCGGCTTCAGTTTCAACACGTTCGACACGCAAAACTTCGACGATCCGGACACCAAGTGGCTCAATTCCAGCTCGAACCAGTCGTTTCTGGACTTCAGCGGCGACGATGGCCCCACGATGGTCAATCCCAACACGGTGTTGCCGGTTATGTCGCTGGCGTCGGCCATTGGGCGCAGCCCATCGCCCGCCGTGCGCGAGAGCCACTTAACGTTCTCGCCGGCCACCATCAAAATCGCCTCCATCAGGGTGAGTTGCAGCGATGCCAAAGCTGCGCCAATCTCTAATCGCTTGGTTTTTCCCCGCTTTATCCAGAGCGATGCCTCGGTGGTCAAGAAGGACCTCCTCAACCGACTAGAGGCGGTYGAAGTGGCCGCGCACAAGCCGGCACCGTCGCCCAAAAGCCTGCCCAAAGTCATCCCCATTCTGGCAAAGTCCAGCTTGAAGCCGCTGGCGATCAGGGCGGCGCCGACCACGCCCACCATTGTGATCAAGAACGCGCTGGGCCAAATCACCACGCCCGTAATCACACAAGTGAACTCGATGACCATCCGAACGGTGCCGACGACGGTGGGGCGCAAGTCCTACGGGACGCCACGCCTCTTCGACGCGATCGAGGGGCGCGCCTACCCGAAGCCCGCCTACAGCTACAGCTGTCTGATCGCCATGGCGCTGAAGAACAGCAAGTCGGGCTCGTTGCCCGTGTCGGAGATCTACAGCTTCATGTGCCAGCACTTTCCCTACTTCAAGACGGCGCCGAACGGCTGGAAGAACTCCGTGCGCCACAACTTGTCGCTGAACAAGTGTTTCGAGAAGATCGAGAAGCCGGCGCTGAATGGGGCGCAGCGCAAGGGCTGCCTGTGGGCGATGAACCCGGCCAAGATCGGCAAAATGGACGAGGAGGTGCAGAAGTGGTCGCGCAAAGACCCCGCGGCCATCAAGCGGGCGATGGTCAATCCAGGTAACCCCATCCCTCCCATCCTCCATTAACTGCCCTCACACTTACCTTGCTGGTGCGCGTTGCAGAGAACCTGGATGCCCTGGAGCGGGGCGAGATGAAGTTCTCCTGCGTCTACGACGATGAGGAGCAATTCGCGGACTCGGGAGGCTCCGTGGGGAGCGGCGAAGGCTCCGACCTGGACATCGAGGAAATGGAGGAGGCGGAGGTCGACGTTGGGGAGATGCAAGTCCAGTACATCCAGGTGAAAACCAACGAGTTCGGCGAGTACCAGGAGGTAGGTGTTGGCGGTGTTGGCGGCGCAGCCCCTTCTAATCGGTTCGCCCGCAGGTCAAGCCTCTGCAGACCTACGAGGAGGAGGATCTGGAGGAGGACAAGGAGCTGTTGCGAATGGAGATGGCGCTTGCACAGAAGGAGCTGGAATACGAGAAAACCGGCATCAACAGCAAGCGCCGAAGGAACTTGTAGTGCCCACAGCCCCAGCTGCTGCCAGCCGGCTTGATCGGGCAGCGCCCCTTGGCTGTAGGGCTGCCCGATGAAGCCAACGGGGCTGCGCACCTGCCCAGATTGCCAGGCGCGCAGCCCCACCCGCCAGTGGGGACCCCCCTTTTTACAACACGCAGCCAATCCAGGACTTAGTTCATTATATGTTTGTGATAGTGCAGTATTGAGATGCCGTGTAATTGGTTTTTCCTCTCTCAAACTATGAACGTTCAGTTTCTTCTTACCGATAAGGTCCATGTACAAATGATAGAATTAAGGCGATTTTACTTACTTAGTAATAACAATAAATGAAATGTGATTTTTCTACATGAGCAGTATCCAGGCGAGTAGCCCCCAGGGGGCGGCCGATAAATATGGGGCGGCGCCCGCAGCCGCCGCCTGCACTGTCTGCACCGCTACGGGCTCAGTGGCGTTGCAGTCGATCTGTTTTTTGAGGAATTTGAAGGTGGCGTCGATTATGTTGGCCGGCGTGGTGTCCTTGCAGTGCTCCAGCGCCTCGTTCACGCAGCCCCTTAACGAGTCGAAGTCGCTGCAAAGTGACGCCAATCAAAAAGTGCTTTGGGCAGCTTAAAACCCAAACCTGCAGGCCTTGGGGGAGGCAACAGCCTCCAAGAGGGCCAAGGAGGGATCGGCGCCGTCCTCAGCCAGGCCGGTGGAGTTGAAGCAGGCCTGCAGCGGCTCTTGCTGCTCGGTGAGGCACTGGACGCCGCCCTCTGCAACAAACACTGCGGCCAACGGGGCTATAGGGGGTCGCTTTGGGGCACTCACAGGCCAAGCGGTCGCCGTCCTTCACGCACATGAACTCCTGCATTTCCTGCAGGACGGCGAGGCCGCGGTCCAAATGCGCGGCCTCTTTCGTGGAGAGGCAGCGGCGCAGACTGAGCGTGCCGTTTTGCAGGCACTGGTAAACCTGCGGGAACTGGCGGCAGTACTTCCCAAACACCTCGTCCATTGAGCCGGACTGCGAGGCCACCTGCAGCTCCTGCTGCACTTGGGTGACGTTCACGTAGAGGTCCAGGCAGGCCTGGACTGCGGCCTTTGGCCCCTGAAGGTCGGGGTCAGCATCGGCTTTCTGGCACTTGTCCTGCAGCGCCTTCTCCAGCGCGGCCACATCGAGCTGGGTGCTGTTCAGGTTGAAGGACTGCGCGCTGACCAGGCCTGCAGCGCCCCAAACCCGTTAGATAAAACTTGGACGGTGGAATTACGTACTCAGCAGGAAAGCGATGGCGACGATCGCACGTGCATTCGACACCTCGACGCACATTCTTGGAATTTCTAGGCTGATTGACTGGTCTGAGCACTGGACTGGGTTCTGGTCGACTGGCAGTACCATGTGGCTGGTGGGGAGCACTGGGCGGCAGCGCGCAAGCCCCCCATCTTCTGCTGAAGGCCACCCTTAAGCCCAATAATCTAGACTTGATTAGATTAGATTATACTGGATGGATGAGACATCAGCACAATTAAACACTCAAAAGCACTGAACGGGGGTATATTGAGACGGATTAACAGCTAGGGGGGCAGCTGCAGGCGGCTGGGCCGCCCTGGGGCGGGCAGGGGCAACAGGGGGTGACCACCGGCACGTAGACGCAGGCCTGGGGCACGCAGGGCACCGGGCACGGCAGGCAGGGGCACGGGCAGGGCGGCGGACAGGGGCAGACGCTCACCGGCACGCAGCAGCCGCTGGGGTAGCAGGGGGGACAGATACAGCCGCACTCTTCCCCCATTTTGTAACTGGGAATTTTCCTTTTGGGCTTTGTTTGATTGCGTTGCCCTGGCAACGCCAACACCTACGCGCATTCGGCGTCACTGTGTATATATGCCATTTTTTCTGTTTCTTTTCCTCTCACCACGGAGTCGCTCTTTCCTGGTTCTTCTGTTCAGGTGCTACTCCCAGGCACAGATCACGGAGTGTATGATCTGTGTTCGGAGTTCAATGAACCCCAGTTAGGGGCGGCTGTCAATAAGAAGTGCAACGCCCAGTTGGAGCATCGTTTCCAAGGCCCCATTAGCAGGTGAGAGGGTAAGTAACATCCGTTAATAATGTACACGTTTATTGCCGTTTACGTAAATATTTGGATATAAAATTCAGGATAATGCAGGGCTGGCTGGGGAGCTGCGCCCCCATCAGATCTTGTCAACGCCAAAACCAGCGCGCATTCGGCGTCACTATGTATATACGCGATTGTATCGGTCTCTTTTCCTCTCACCACAGACTCGCTCTTTCCTTGTTCTTCTGTTCAGGTGCTAGTCCCAGGCACAGATCGCGCAGTGTGTGATCTGTGTTCGAAATTCAGTGAACCCCAGTTAGGGGCGGCTGTCAATAAGAAGTGCAACGCCCATTTGGAGCATCGTTTCCAAGGCCCCATTAGCAGATGAAAGGGTAAGTAACGCCCCCTGTTAGTAATGCACACGTTTATTGCCGTTTACACACACATTCGCCATATATTTACGTAAATATTCGGATATAAAATTCAGGATAATGAAGGCATGCGCAAGGTAGGGCTGGCTGGGGAGCTGCGCCCCCATCAGACTTTGTCCTCGCCGTTTTGGGGTCCCGAGGTGCGCACGAACTGAAACCGAAACGCTCGCTCACCAAAAACGCCGTCCATCAGTTTCACTGCGCAGCGGTAAGCACGCACAGTGAAAAGGTAAGCGGGTGGCACTACCTTACGTACCGAGACCGTGGTCATGGTGCAGGAATTGGCGCGTTTCGAGCGAAACCGGGCCGCCCGCCATTTGCGCTTGATCTGGGCCTGCACCTGCAAAATGGGCGCCTGTCACCTGCCAATTGTCACTTGTCGCCGCTCACTTACCTCGCCGTTGCAGAAGCAGAACAGCACGGCCACGCACAGGCCCTGAAAGCGCCCAGATTCGGGATTAAAAAAGGAGAAGCCGCCCCTTAAAGTACCTACTTGGAACGACATGGTGATGGCCGAGACTATTTCATAGACGTACTCCCAGGGGGGGCCGCCCTGCGGCCTGAAGGGCGTCAGCAGGAAGTTGAGCCCGAGCAGCGGCACCAGCAGAAGCGTGGCTCTGAGGAAGTGAGGGTCAGGCGGGGTGAGTGGCGGGGGCGCACTTACCGGAGGGCTTGCAGGGTGGAGCGCGAGGCGCCGCCCGAGGGCTCGTTGGCGGGGCCGCGGCGCAACTTGAGCACCACCACGCGCACGATATTGATGAGGAAGAGCAGATTGAGGCCGACGGTCGCCGCCACTGGAATTTGCTGGATGAAGTCGTAGCGAAAGTCCCGCATCCAGCACCTGGAACGACGGGAATGAAAGCGTTACGCGCCAACGGTGCGGAGCGAATCCATCCCGATTTGCTCCGGCGGTTTCCCCCCGAGACTCAATTAGGAAACTTTCCAATTTGAGGAAAGGGGGCCCTGGATACTCACATGTCCAGCTCGTCGCCCTCGCCCAGCCACGCCCGCACCGGCACATAAATCAGGGTGGTGAGCAGCGGCACGCCCCAGCCCACCACGTTCATCCACCAGTAGAGGCTGCTCTGCTGGATGAAGGCCCACACGAGCACCGTGTGCAGGTAGAGCCCCTCGCACAGCATCCAGGAGTAGTTGGAAATGAGGCCGGTGTAGAGCACCCGGTGCAGCGCGATGCACCAGATCTGTGCGGGCAAATTACGAAAAATTACCATCAAATAACTACACGCTCCACGTCAACCAAATGTGTGCTACTCGTCAACTGAAGCTTCATCTCTCCTTTACTAGGTTCCGTACTGCGGTGCCTCAATTTGTTATGGAGAGACGCCCCTCAGAAGCTTGGCCTACATGTGGAGCGCTTGCAAACTAGGCGCAGCTGTTGTACCAACGTCCCCTTCGCGGGGAAGGCTTCGCCCCAGCGGGGGAATTATGCCCGACTTAACGCAGGGATTTGGCTAAGCCGCTGGCCAAAGTGTGCGATATAAAGAAGCAAAGACTAGGCGGGTTTAACCGTGCAAGATTAAACGGGCGCATCCGCCATTATGGCCAGAAGCACCGCTTCGACTCGAGTTAACTCGATTTGACTGTTTGCAGTTGGGCAGATTGCCAGATGGGCACGCGATACCGCACGCAAAACCTGAGCTTCGGCCGGGATTAATTGGATGGGGCGCTCGAGGCCCGGAAAATCCCCACATTTGCATAGGAAAGATGGGGGAGACGGCGCTAAGCGTGCCGGCGGTTGCGACAAGCCGAATTAAAGCCATCTGGGATTTGCTCGCATTTACGTTTTGTTGGTCCCCTTTAATCCAATCGCTCCCCGATGCTCCGGCCTGCGTAAACGAATTGGTCGCTGATTCTATCAGCGTGTGCGGTCCGGATGGATTACTGGTTTGGAACGGTTGGAGTGTGCGATTTCATGCGATTATCCGGTGAAAAATTGCGGTTGTGCCAGTCGTTCTGGACACTGTGGTGGATGCGCCCCTTGACTCACCTCGTTGCTGATCAGGATTGCGGTCTCATCGAACACCACGTAGTACCAGAGCAGCCAGAGGCAGTTGTTGAGGGCGAAGGAGGCGAACAGATTCATGTGGATGAGGATGCGCACGCATCGCAACGACCTGGAACTGAGTGAGATAGACTGACGGGGGCGGGGCCAGCCCCCCCTCTTACTTGAAGTGAAACAGCAACGCGAGCGACACGAGCAGAGCGATCAGGCTGACGCCGTAGCCGAAACAGTGGATGCTGACCACGATGGTGCGGAACTGAAACGGCGTCGCTTCAGAGCATGCGCCTCCGATGTCGCCAAACTTACCGACAGATCGGCGGTGTTGACACAGCTGGTGTAATTCACCCAGGTCTTGTTGTATGCCTCATGGAAGTACCAGCTGCCGTCCTGCTCGCACTTGTAGCTCACAGTGTCTGCAAAAAATCGATCGGCTCGGTTAAAAGCGCGCGCTCCGCCACTGGCGCTGGAGATCGCAACGAAATGATTACATTTTTAATCAAGTCATGGGG